TTTAACTTATATTTATACAGAAGGGGTTACTTGCCCCATGCTCCCAGCATTTTAGTCTCCTCTTGCAACATGCATGGCTCGTGGAGAAAGGATTCTCTGCTTTCCCAAGGAGAATAGTAGTAATTGTAATTAAAGTATAATTTTTATTAATGCTTTAAGCCAAGTCCACTAGCTCCTTCTTTCAGTCAGATTACCACTTTTACAACCCTTCCTATATAAAACTTTGGGACCTGTCCCTTCATCATGACATTATTCTTTCAAAGGATTTCCAAAGTTTAGGTTAAGTTGAATTATTTCCAGAAAGTGATTGAGAAATATGTGAGAATATTTAACTATTGTTTTTATATTATAGTATGTCCATATAATGAGTCACAAAATTGAAAGCTGATCACATTCATTCATTTTTTTTTTTTTGCAACTCTATTAAAAGCTTAAAATTATAAATACTAAATACAGGACTGTTAAATTACACCCCCCTTCTCAATCACACTTTGTACATCTCTAACACACACCCACACTTCTAAACACACTCATTTTATCATAGATAAGTAGAAGAAAGGGGGGAAAGGGAAGGAATAATTACATTTTTATATAAGACTAATTATCTAAACACTTCAGATTTTATTCATTGCCAGTTTTATTCATTGCCATTGCTTAGTTTTATCAACTTTTTTAATATTTTTAGGCATCATGATGTGTCCATATATGAAGACTGAAGATGGGTTTGAAATGCAGATGGGCACCAACCACCTGGGCCACTTTCTACTGACCTCCCTTTTGCTGCCTTTACTGACGCACAGTGAACCTGCTCGCATCATTACTGTCAGCTCTCTGGGACATTCAAGTATGAAGTATACTCTAAATATACTTGGAACAACACCCTTAATAGCAATAAGTTACAGTATATTCCCAGTGAATAAGGTGTGAGTTAGATATATTTTGCAAAGCCCATAATTTTTTTCTTTTTTTTAACAAGTCGGCCGTCTCCCACCGAGGCAGAGTGACCCAAAAAGAAAGAAAATCCCCAAAAAGAAAATACTTTCATCATCATTCAACACTTTCACCTCACTCATACATAATCACTATCTTTGCCGAGGCACTCAGATACGACAGTTTAGAAGTCCCTCCAAACTGTCAATATCCTAGACCCCTCCTTTAAAGTGCAGGCATTGTACCTCCCATTTCCAGGACTCAAGTCCGGCTAAATCTATAATAACTGGTTTCCCTGAATCCTTTCACTAAATATTACCCTGCTCACACTTCAACAGCTCGTCAAGCCCTAAAAACCATTCGCCTCCATTTACTCCTATCTAACACACTCAGACGTGCTTGCTGGAAGTCCAAGCTCTTCGCCCACAAAACCTCCTTTACCCCCTCCCTCCAACCTTTTCAAGGACGACCTCTACCCCTTCTTCCTTCCCCTACAGATTTATATGCTCTCCAGGTCATTCTACTTTTATCCATTCTCTCTAAATGACCAAACCACCTCAGCAACCCCTCTTCAGCCCTCTGACTAATACTTTTAATAACTCCACACCTCCTTTTAATTTCCAGACTCTGAACAAAAGTTTGCGACCACTGTTAGCCTCAGAGTTATCTCCGAGTTCCCAGACCCTGCCACGTGAAGGCCAGTGGTTCGTCTTTAGAGTGCCATAATATACACAGCATTTTGAGCAGAACTCTGAAAGTAACACAAACACTTGTGTTAGGTTTATGGAGTATTTACTCAATAAATAATAATGTGTAACATATTGTGCAGAATTGTGGCCAGTAAACATGTGAATCAGTTTGTTACATAGGAAGCAACTATGTATTACAGTAGAAATAAATAATTAATCCTAATAAATAATAATTAATAATTAATCCTAATATGGATGAATTGAAACAATATCGGTAACATCAGATTTTTTTTTTCAATACGTCTACCATCTCCCTCTGAGGCAGGGTGACCCAAAAAAGAAAGAAGCACTTTCACCATCATTCACACACAATCACTGTCTTTGAGGAGGTGCCCAGATACAATGGTTCAGATGTCACCCCAAATAGCCAATATCCCAAACCCCTCCTTTAAAGTGCAGGCATTGTACTTCCCACCTCCAGGACTCAAGTCCGGCTAACTGGTTTCCTTGAATCCCTTCACACAGTATTACCCTGCTCACACTCCAGGAACTCGTCAAGTCCTAAAAACCATGTGTCTCTATTTATTCCTATCTAACATATGCATACATTCCTGCTACATGTGTAATCTTGAGGAAAATATTGTTCAATAAAAATTTGACTTAAAAGTGCCTATGTTTCATATCATTTGTGAGAAATATGGTATATGTATCTGTCATTCCTGAAAGGAATGACAGATACATATTTGTTTCTTTGTCAGTACCTCAGTAATACTCAAACAATATTTCTTTAAAATCTAGTATATACAGAACTGCACTGTATTGCATTTCAGCGGATCATCCATCTTATGATGTTTGTGCCCTTCGGGAAAGATGGCTTGGAAATGAGTGATAGTGAATGTTTTCCTTTGCAACATGATTGGTTCAAATATATACAGTATACAGTATATGTGACTTTTTCAACATTTCATTCATTTCTCAAACTGCAGTAAATTTCTTAACTCTTTGAGGGGTCCATTGGCTTTGAAGCCTGGGTCCAAGCTGTAGTTCTACGCCATGAACTCAGCTCGCCCAGATAAGCTGTGAGCTGTAAATTTGAGCCTAGATACGAGAGAATGGATCTACAGTGGAACCTCGACATACGAGTACCCCAACATACGAGTTTTTTGAGATATGTACGAGCCGTCTCTCAGTTGATTTTTTGCTCTGAGTTACGAGCCAAAATCCGAGTTAAGAACATAAGCAAGGAGGAACACTGCAGTAGGCCTGTTGGCCCATACTTGGCAGGTCCTTTACAATACCAACTCACCAACAGAACATTTACCCAACCTACTTTCAGTGCTACCCTAACAATAAGCTCTGACAAATCTATTTACTCACGTGCAAGTCCCACTCAAATCCAACCCCTCTCATTCATGTATTTGTCCAAGTTACAAGCGAGCTTTCCCCTCAAGGAGAAGCTCGCTTGTAACTTGGTGAGGGGCTCTTGATCTAAGAAATTGGATCTGTGCTCCAGTTCTTTAAATTAAGCCTGAATACCTTACATGCCCTCCCTCCCACAGGCGCTGTATAATCCTATGGATGTAGCGCTTCCCCATAATAATAATAATAATAATTTTTTTTTTTTTTTTTTTTTCAACAAGTCGGTCGTCTCCCACTGAGGCAGGGTGACCCAAAAAAGAAAGAAAATCCCCAAAAAGAAAATACTTTCATCATCATTCAACACTTTCACCACACTCGCACATTATCACTGTTTTTGCAGAGGTGCTCAGAATACAACAGTCTAGAAGCATACACATATAAAGATACACAACATATCCCTCCAAACTGCCAATATCCCAAACCCCTCCTTTAAAGTGCAGGCATTGTACTTCCCATTTCCAGGACTCAAGTCCGACTATATGAAAATACAGTGGACCCCCGGTTAACGATATTTTTTCACTCCAGAAGTATGTTCAGGTGCCAGTACTGACCGAATTTGTTCCCATAAGGAATATTGTGAAGTAGATTAGTCCATTTCAGACCCCCAAACATATACGTACAAACGCACTTACATAATTACACTTACATAATTGGTCGCATTCGGAGGTAATCGTTATGCGGGGGTCCACTGTAACCGGTTTCCCTGAATCCCTTCACTAAATATTACCCTGCTCACACTCCAACAGATCGTCAGGTCCCAAGTACCATTCGTCTCCATTCACTCCTATCTAACACGCTCACGCACGCTTGCTGGAAGTCCAAGCCCCTTGCCCACAAAACCTCCTTTACCCCCTCTCTCCAACCCTTCCAAGGACGACCCCTACCCCGCCTTCCTTCCCCTATAGATTTATATGCTTTCCATGTCATTCTACTTTGATCCATTCTCTCTAAATGACCAAACCACCTCAACAACCCCTCTTCTGCCCTCTGACTAATACTTTTATTAACTCCACACCTTCTCCTAATTTCCACACTCCGAATTTTCTGCATAATATTTACACCACACATTGCCCTTAAACAGGACATCTCCACTGCCTCCAACCGTCTCCTCGCTGCTGCATTTACCACCCAAGCTTCACACCCATATAAGAGTGTTGGTACTACTATACTTTCATACATTCCCTTCTTTGCCTCCATAATAATAATAATAATAATAATAATAATGAGCGAGCTTCAGTGCACGTATTTACCTCATTGTGGAAGCATTTCTCTTGTGTTTTGCTTGCATTTTGTGCAGTTATTTTGCCAAATTTCTTTTTTCTAACTATGGGTCCTAAGAAAGTAAGTGCAAAGGACAGTGCTGAGAAGAAAAAGAGGATGATGGAATTAAAGCATGAAATCATAGATAAACATAAGCGTGGTGTGCGGGTTGTCGGTTGTAGCATTAAGAGTGTAGCAAGTAAATCAGTGGCAAAAAAGTAAAAAACAAATTGTATCAGCTAAGTTTAGCATTAAAGTGTAGCAAGTAAGTTAAGGGGTTAAGTGATAGAAAAAGGACAAACAAAACAAACTTATCCAATGTTGTTGTTGGTGGGGTTTATAGGGCCACTGACAGCATACGCCGCTCTGCCAGTATCTCTTCTCTAAGGTAAATATGTACGTACACTTCATAAAACCAGTGAATTTCTTTACATTCTGTTATATTTTATTATGTTTTTATACAATATTTCTTATTTATAAATACATTGTTTCAGTATTTTCCTTATGAAACTAGTGATCTAGTGCAGTTAGCCTCACAAACACTTTGTTTTCTCTTATAATAAGACCTCAGATGGGGAAGCATGGGAAGATATGGTTAGAGCGGGAGCAGGAATGGCAGCCACCACTATTCACATAATGACATGCTTTATTCATTCTAGAGTATATATAATGTTTCTATGTTATTTATATTGTTTGTCATATTAGATTACTTTTTTTTTTTTTAACAAGTCGGCCGTCTCCCACCGAGGCAGGGTGACCCAAAAAGAAAGAAAATCCCCAAAAAGAAAACACTTTCATCATCATTCTACACTTTCACCTCACTTGTGATAGATAAATAAGCCATAGAGTTGATATTAGCATTATATTGAAGTATTTTGTCCTGCCTCCCGAGAGCAGGAATTCCGCTGGAATGGGTTAACGGCATTTCATTTAATTTAAATGAGTTAAATTGATTTGATATATGTACGAGCAAATTGAGTTACGAGCTAGGTCACAGAACGGATTAAACTCTTAAGTCAAGGTTCCACTGTATGTGGTAAATATGCACCATATAAAACAAATTCTGTAGCACGCAGTGCATAATGAGAAAAAACTGCGACCACCTTTTTGGATTAAGACAGCAAATTTATGGTGTATTTTTGTATGGTTTTTACAGTTGTATTCACATTTTCTTGGTCTCATTTGATAGAATGGAAGATATACAGTGGACCCCCGCATAACGATCACCTCCGAATGCGACCAATTATGTAAGTGTATTTATGTAAGTGCGTTTGTACGTGTATGTTTGGGGGTCTGAAATGGACTAATCTACTTCACAATATTCCTTATGGGAACAAATTCGGTCAGTACTGGCACCTGAACATACTTCTGGAGTGAAAAAATATCGTTAACCGGGGGTCCACTGTATTACAGAAATAGAAATGATTTTGATTGGTTTTAGTACTGAAAATAGCTTGAAATTCAGCTCAAATTATCAGAAATGTTCGATTTTTGTTGATGTTAAAGAGTAAACAGTTGATGTCACGCATCCAATACACGTCAGCTGGTGGGTCTAATATGCATTCACAAATGCGCTGATATTGTTATTACAATATTGCATAACAGTAAATCTTCTATTTTTTGGTGTGAATAAAATTTCTTTATGTGAATAAATAATGAAAATGAAATTCATCTGTAAAGCCTGGAAACATAACTAATAAACAGAGGAAATGTTGTTTTATTGCCAGGAATGCCTGCATTGTTTATTCTGGACTCTATTTTGAAATTGGAATATTTTGAACTTTGTGTGAAATTGGCCAAATTACCAATTTCTGATTATTGGGTAGTTGAAATAGTTAATTGGGCAGTTTCTTGTGCTGATTTGATAAAATAGAAGTGATGCTAGTAAAATAGCTAAGAATTTGGTCGACTGGAATAATGTAATTGGCCTAAAATAGGAGTCAAAGTGGGCAAAATCACTGATGTGTAAATATTGCTGATGCAGTAAAATTCATGAGTGTAATTTCGTCAATTTTCTATCAAATTTGGTGCTTTTTGTTTTATTACCCTCAGAAAAAGATTCTCTACCATTTCATTAGAAAAAAAAAAATTTTGAAAATTCTTGGACCCTGTGGACAAGGCATAGAACTACACCGTGGCAAGGAAGGCACCAAAATAACTTTGCATTTAAGGCATGAATAATGTGTGTATCCCTGTATTCAAGGTTTCGAATCAGCAGCTGAAACATACATTGATGAATTCATTATATGTACTGGGTTGCTAATCATGGAATATTATTAACTGCAGTAAAAATTGTACTTTTGATACAATGGTGGCTAGTTTTGCAGATCTTGGAATAAAATTAACTTGATTTTCATGAAAAACTTTTATTTCAGGAGGTTGTATTCCATTTGATGACATGAACTATGAAAAAGGATATGACAGAGTTCATGCATATGAAAACAGCAAGCTAGCAAATGTTCTTTTCACCCGACAACTTGCAAAGATATTGAAAGGTAATTATTAAAGTTTGGTAATAAGTTCCTGCCAATTAGAAGTTAGATCCTAAAAGAGCAAAAAGATGCTATTCTTAAAATGCTAAACATAATGTGTACAGCTCATCATAAGAATGAATATCTTCTTACTCTATAAAACTATTTGATTCATGAGATTTTTTTTTTTATCTCTAAATATATACACTAAAGGCTGTTATCCTACTTCAACTCATTTCAAATCCTAACCGTATCTAAGATAAACCACCCTACTGGATACAATCTACAAGAGTTGGTTAATACCCAGGTACTTGCTGCTGGATGAACAGGGGCAAAAGGTATAAGGAAATACAGGAGGGCACCACTTATATGCGGGTTAGGTTCCAGTCTACCCCCGTAAAGCAAAATCACTCTTTTTTTTTCACTTGTAAATGCAATTTTTTTTTTACAATTCAGAGTGCTTTGTAATATGCTGATACTCTTTCAGTCTTTGTACTTTATTTTTTTTATTTTTATTTTAACACATCATCGGTTTCCCACCGAGGCAGGATGACCCAAAAAGAAAGAAAAACTTTATTATTGTTAATATTTAAAGACTTGTAATAGATATGTGGCATATATGTCATCATCTCTGAAAAATCTAATCTTATGTTTAATCATGTTTCATATTTTACAGGGACAAACATTCAAGTCTTTGCTGTTCACCCAGGAGCTGTACAGTCTAATTTAGGTCGTCACATAATGGGGACCTGGTCAGCTAGTAATTTGAGTACCATCTTTTTTAAAAGCACAATTGAAGGTATTCAGACCACTCTTCACTGTGCATTAGAAGCTACTCAAAAGGAGCCTTACTATTACAGGTACTTGTTTGTGTTTTGATGTGTATGTATAATAATAAGTGTATACATTTGATTAAAAAGAATTTTTAATTGAGTTTGGTTTCACTGATTTTTTTTTTAACATGCTGGCCATCTCCCACCATGGCAGGGTGACCCAAAAGAGAAACACTTTCTCCATCATTCACACTATCACTGTCTTGCCAGATATGTGTAGATACAACAGTTTAGATATCCCTTCAAACAGCAGAAATTCCAAACCCCCTCCTTTAGAGTGCAGGCACTATACTTGTCACCTCTAGGACTCGACTGGCTAACCGGTTTCCCTGAATCCTATCACAAAATATTACCCTGCTCATACTGCAACAACTCGTCAAGTTCCAAAAAAACATTTATCTCATCTCCACTCACTCCTGCCTAACACACACACACATGCCTGCTGTTCGTCCAAACCCCTTGAACATAAAGCCTTCTTTATCCCCCTCCCTCCACCCTTTCCTGGAACTACCCCTACCCAGTGTTCTCTCCACTAAAGATTGATACTCCCTCCAAATCATCCAATTGTGCTCTATCCTCTCTAAATGACCAAACCACTTCAACAACCCCTCCTCAGCCCTCTGAATAATACTTTTAGTAGCTCTACCCCTCTTCCTAATTTCCACACTATGAATTCATTCAAAGCAGGGCAATTTCTATGAATTCATTCAAAGCTGTGCAATTTCTTTGGGTCTTGCTGATTGGATGGGCGAGTACATGGATACTAATGACAGTGAGGACCATATCTGTTATTACATTCATATTCATACTACTTTTCTATTCCCAATTTAGTTATTAATGTGTTTAAATTTCTTGTTTTCTTTGAAACAGTGACTGTGGTCTTGGCTGTGCTAGTGCTGCAGCACGAGATGATGCAGCAGCAGAAAAGTTGTGGCAGATATCTGAGAAAATGGTTGGCCTTGCCAAAGAAGACTAAAAGTGGTGGTACTCACTAACTTTTTAGTAATTTTTTACGGTATAGTACAGCATTATAAAAACCAATCCTTCCCTGAAAAAAAAAAATTTGTTAGTTAAAATTTGATGGCTTGGAAATGTATGTGAATTTCATTGTTATATTTTTGACTTATAATGAATGTTTTTTTTTTTTTTTTTTTTAACGCCAGCCGTCTCCCACCGAGGCAGGTGACCCAAAAAAGAAAGAAACACTTTCACCATCATTCACACATAATCATTGTATTTTTAATTAAATAAATTTGGAAGATGTGCAGCAAATAACATTGAATTTTATTTTCCTTCTGGAACCTTGTGCTCTGCGAACACTAAAAAATATCCTCTGCAAATATCAAAAAATATCCTTTTACATAGTTCATAAGTTTACTCAGCTTATCCTAAGTAGGTTTGGGGAAAATTACATTTCCTCAGTATTGGTAAGTATTTTTTTTAGCTTCTGTCATCTTCCACTGAGGTAGGGTGACTCAACAAAAAAGACACTTTTACTGTCAGAAGAGCACTGACATCAGTTCAGATGACCATACAACATCATCTTGGCCTATTTGACAAAAGTTGAAATAATCAAGGAAGAGAACACAGGAACAAAGCAAAGAGGGGAAACTGCTTGAAAAAAAGGAATTTCCATAAAGTGGGAATGAGAAGAGGCAGAAAGAACTGAAGGAGGAGGTAGGCCTATGAATCATCAAGAAGCTGAGGGGTTTCAGGTAAAGATTGGTGGCAACTGAAACTTTTATAAAAATCTTTAATGAAACACCACTGAATCATGAAAGCTATGGACTTCTCATGGGAAGTGTATTGAAGATGGTGAAGGGCTCTTGATAAAAGAACTAGACTTACCCTCCCCTTCCTTGGATTGAACCTGAATACCTTCCAGTCCCCAAATGCTATGTGACTCCTAGGATTTAGTGTTTTCCATTGATTAAAAAAAACTGAAAGCTATGGAAATGAACTTGTTAATGGACACAATGGGTGTCTTGGCAATTTCACAATGATAAGATGTTGGGTTTTGCATGCAGACTTTAAATTAGGGACAGCTGAAAAGCCCCAAAACATTTAAGTGCAATCCTTGAGAATGAATAATGTTGACCCCAGAGAGAGTAGTGTGTTTGCCAAAGCAAAGGAATATACCTGATGTCTGTTGTCTAGGTCTTCCTTCAAGAAAGGTGACAAAGCCAGTGAAAAACTCTTAATCCAAAGAGAGTTACTCTCCCCTTGGATCCCCTCAAGGAAGGTTCCTTGACACTGGTGAGGGGCTCTTGATCTAGGGAATTGGATCTGAGTCTGAATACCTTCCACCCCCCCACCAGGTGCTGTATAATCCCTATGGGTTTAGCACAACTCCATTATAATGATACTCTCCCATTGGATCAGATTTTATTACCTCATTTCCCTGAAGCTATATGTCCTGTATGAGTTTAGTGTTTCCCCATGAACATAACTAATCTAATTTTGACAAGACTAAGGCTGGGCTAAGATGGAATAGGGACTGGATTGGTTCTCTAGGGGAAAAAAAGCAAAATCTGATTTAAACTCAATTTATGACAACTCTTAGGGAGGCAGTGGGTCCAAAAGGGGCTCTTAATGCTGATAAAGGGTTTTTCATCCATAGAATTGTAACTACCCCTCTCCTTTGGATAAAATCTTATTACTTCTCTAAAGGTACTTCATTATTATTATTATCCCCAGAGCATTCAGATTATATTTATGCTGAGACAATTGACATTTAAAATTTGTTTCCCCAATGTAACATTACCTGGAGTTTACCTGGAGAAGGTTTCAGTGGTTAATGCCCCCACAGCTCGGTCTGAGACCAGGCCTTGTTGTGGATCAGGGTCTGATCAACCAGGCTGTTACTGCTGGCCGCACGCAAACTGACATACAAACCACAGCCCGGTTAGTCAGGTACTGACTTTAGGTTCCTGAACAGTACCTTCTTGAAGACAGCCAGGGGTCTATTGGTAATATCCCTTATGTATGCTGGGAGGCAGTTGAACAGTCTTGGGCCCCAGACACTTATTGTGTTTTCTCTCAGTGTACTCATGGCACCCCTGCTTTTCATTGGGGAAATGTTGCATCTCCTGCCAAGTCTTATGCTTTCATAGGGAGTGATTTTCGTGTGCAACTTTGGTACTAATCCCTCTAGGATTTTCCAAGTGTATATTATCATGTGTCTCTCTCGCCTGCATTCCAGGGAATACAGATCAAGGGCCTTCAACCATTCTCAATAATTTAGTGCCTTATCGTACTCATGTGTGCCATGAAAGTTCTTTGTACACTCTCCAGGTCAGCAATTTCCTCTGCCTTGAAAGGGGCAGTTAGTGTACAGCAGTATTCCAGCCTAGAGAGAACAAGCAATTTGAAAAGAATCATGGGCTTAGCATCCCTAGTTTTAAAGATTCTCTTTATCCATCCCATCAGTTTCCTAGCAGATGTGGTAGATACAGTGTTGTGGTCTTTGAAGGCGAGATCCTCTGACATTATTACTTCCAGGTCCTTCACATTACTTTTTTGCTCTATTGCATGGTTATAATATGTCCTATACCCTGATACAGTTTTAATTTTCTCAAGTTTTCCATATCTGAGTAGATGAAATTTCTCTTCACTGAACTTCATATTGTTTTGAGTGGCCCATTTGAAGATTTGGTTTATGTCCGCTTGGAGTCTTGCGATGTCTTTGATGGCAGTCACTGTCATGGCAATCTGGGTGTCATCCACAAAGGAAGACATGGAGCTATGGCTTACATCTCTGTCTATATCAGATATGAGGATGAGAAACAGAATGGGAGCGAGTACTGTGCCTTGTGGGACAGAGCTTTTCACCATAGCTGCCTGGGACTTTACTCTGTTTACTATTATTCTTTGTGTTCTATTTGTCAGGAAATTATAGATCCACCTACCAGTTTTTCCTGTTATTCCTTTATCATGCTATAACACCATGGTCACACTTGTTAAATGCTTTTGCAAAGTCTGTGCATACTTCATCTGCATTTTATTTGTCTTCTAGAGCATCCAGGACCTTGTCATAGTGGTCCAGTAGTTGGGACAGACAAGAGCGACCTGCTCTAAACCCATGTTGCCTTGGGTTGTGTAACTGATGGGTATCTAGATGAGTGGCGAGCTTGCTTCTTAGAACCCTTTCAAAGAATTTTATGATATAGGAAGTAAGCGCTATCAGTCTGTAGTTCTTTGCTATTGCTTTACTGCCCATTTGTGGAGTGGGGCTGTCTGTTGTTTTTAGCAGATGTAGGATGACCCCTGTGTCCATGCTCCCTCTCCATAGGATGTTAAAAGTACATAATAGGGGCTTCTTTCAGTTCTTGATGAACACAGAGTTCCATGAGTCTGGGCCTGGGGCATAGTGCATGGGCATGTCATTTATCGCCTTTTCGAAGTCATTTGTCATCATGGTAATATCAGATAGGTTCGAGTCTGCCAAATTTTGTCTCTCATAAAAAAATCATTTAGATCTTCGACTCTTAGTCTGGTTAGCAGCTCTCTAAAAACCGACCCCTCAAGGAAGGTTCCTTGATGTTGGTGAGGGGCTCTTGATTTAGGGAATTGGATCTGTGTTCCAGTTCCCCAAATTAAGCCTGAATGCCTTCCACATCCCCCCCCCCAGGCGCTGTATAATCCTCCTGATTTAGCGCTTCCCCTTTGATTATAATAATAATAATAATCTAAAAACCGAGTCGCTCACTCATTTCCTTGCTGTCATCTGTGTAGGACCCATCTCGTTTAAGTAGAGGCCCAATACTGGATGTTGTTCTCTACTTTGATTTGGCATAAGAAAAGAAATGTTTTGGGTTTCTTTCATTTTCATTTATGGCTTTTAGTTCTTCCCGCGTTTCTTGACTCCTGTAAGATTCCTTTAGCTTTAGTTCGATGATTCGCTATTTCTCTAACCAGTGCCTTCTCTATGTATTACAAATATACTGGCCTCTTTTAGCCGCTCTCTTATTCTTGGCCTGTGCCTGTATAGGGAGCACCTGTTTTTTCAAATTTAAATTAAATTTTTATTTCTTTGCATAGTTTACTATATGTGACTGACATGTTGTAAAAAGTCTATTTCCATGCATAGTTTTCAATGTACTTTGTATTGGACTGATGAAGCCACTGTATGGCGAAACGTTTCTTCAATAAAGATTCCCATATGTTGCATAAGCGTTTCAATTCTTCAAGCTGTCGGTTTTCAAAACCATTTATCACATATATATTATAGCTGATTCGAACTGAACATTGTTTTTTATATATCAACAGAGGTAGTAGCGGTTTCATAGTAATTAAATTGACAAGTAGTTAAATAACAAGTTATAGAACTATATTTTAGTATATTATACATAATGAGATTGAGACAATTTTAGTTTTGAAATAGTTCTATAAAAACTGGCAATTTTTGAGTTGATGGTGGCGATAGCATATAGTGTTTGTGTTGTTAGTTTTGGGAGATGAGGTGATTTCTAAGTAGTGCCTTGAACTGGTGTGCAGGCAGGGGCCCTTTTGTATTTTCAGGCAATGAATTCCAGATCTTAGGGCTCTTTATATGCATTGCATTTTTGCACAGGGAGAGATGGACACAAGGGATATCAAATAGCGTTGTGTGTCTTGTGTTATGTAAATGTGTTCTATTGTAGTTCTCGAGAAGGAGTTCGAGAGGGTTTATATTGGAGAATAATGTTCTGGGTATGTAGCAGGCACAATAGTATAAGTGGATATTTTGTATGTTAAACAGATTCAAGCTCTTAAACAGTGGTAGGGTGTGTTGCCTGGCGCAGGAGTTTGTAATCATTCTCGCAGCAGCTTTCTGTTGTATAATTAAAGATTTAAGTTGATTTGCTGTGGTTGAACCCCATGCACAAATACCACAGGTGAGGTAAGGGTAGATGAGAGAGTGGTAATGAGCAACAAGTGCCGTTTGGGGCACATAGTACCGTATCTTAGAGAGGATGCCTACTGTTTTGGGGATTTTTTGGGGAAATACGCTGTATGTGGGGTCTAAAATTTAAGACAGCTGTCTATGTGAAGCCTTAGAAATTTTCCGACAGTGTGTCTTGAAATGGAGGAACCATTTATCGATATGTTTAGCTGAATATTTGCAGCTCTGTTACCAAACAGAACAGCTGAATATTTGCAGCTCTGTTACCGAACAGAATGAAGTAGGTTTTGTCGATATTGAGAGTAAGTTTGTTGGTCGTCATTCAAGTGGGTATTTTTAGCAGCTCATCGTTTACTGTGTTTCTAAGTACGGTTTGGTTTGGGTGAGAGAAGATATAGGTAGTGTCATCTGCAAAAATAGTTTGGAGGCATTTGGGAGGTCATTGATGTAAATGAGAAAGAGAAGTGGTCCCTGGGGGACTCCAACTAAAACAGGTTGTGTGGTGGAGGCAACACCATTTGTGTATACATACTGGTGTCTATTGCTAAGATATGATTTAAGGTCGTCGAGTGGGTGTCCTCTGACCCCGTAATGGTCAAGTTTTAGGTGCTAGAGATCATGGTCAACTGTATCAATGCTTTCCGTAGGTATATGACGAGGCACAGTTGAATTTCCTTTTTTTTTCAGTGCCGTATATAGTAGCTCGAGCATATGTATAATTGCATCATTTGTGCTTTTTCTTAGCCTAAATCCAAACTGGCAGGGGTTAAGTATGTTATGGGATACACGGTAGGAGTAAATTTGCTTGTGTATTATTTTTTCGAAAATTTTAGGCCTATAGTTATTTAAATGAGTAGGATCCCCTCCTTTGTGGATTGGTGTAACCCTTGCTGTCTTGAGTAGGGATGGGAAGGTTGAAGATTCAATGGACTTGTTAAAAAGTGTTGTAGTAATGGGTGACAACAAATGAGAATTACTAAACACCTCATATGATGTGGTGGCATACAAGCCTCAAGATGCAACTTCACAGTAATTCCAGGAGCAGCTTTTGAAAATTGACCACTGTCTGGAAAAATCTCCCAACTCCTGCCCCAAACATCTTACTACTAGGAGATTTCAACTTGAGACACCTAAAATGAAGGAGTATAGCAAACATTGTTTAAGTAGAGATCACCCCAGGAAGCAGCTCAGATGAAGATTTACACACGATTAAATCTCTGCACCAAATTCACCATAAACCAGCAAATATTAGAGCCTACAAGACTAGAAAATACGCTGGACCTCATCTTCACTAACAACGACGATCTGATACGTAATATAACCGTATCAAAGATCACAACATAATAGATATAGACATGTATGCACAGGGCTCGTGACCAGCAAAATGTGATCATTCATAAAGGTCTCTTCACAAAATTTAATTTCAGTAACAAGAACATATAATGGGATCAAGTCAACAATGTCCTCAATGAAACAAGCTGGGAAGATATCTTAAACAACACAGATCCGAACATTTGCCTAGAAAAAATGAACTCTGTGGCTCTTGAGATCTGCTCAAGACACATTCCATTAAGAAAAAGAAAGTGAAGATATAAACTAGAAAGAGAGAGACGTTCCCTATACAGAGAAAGGCGAAGAGTCACAGAACTTTTGAGAGGGGCCAATATATCTGAAATACGAAGGGAGGCACTGGTCATTGAAATTGCAAACATCGAACTTAAGCTTAAGGAATCTTACAGGAGATAAGAATCACAGGAAGAACTAAAAGCCATAAAGGAAACTGGAAAACAATAATACTTCTTCTCTTATGTCAAATCTAAGGGAAAAACAACATCCATTATTGGGCCCCTGCTTAGGCATGATGGGACATACACAGATGACAGCCAAGAAATGAGTGAAATTTTAAAGTCCCAATACGACTCAGTATTTCAGCGAGCCCCTGCCCAGACTAAGGGTCGACAATCCAAATAAATTCTTTATGAAGAAACCCAAAATTTGGTCATCCCAAAAATCTCTGATATTATCCTAACTCCGCAAGACTTTGAAAAGGCAGTAAATGACATGCCCATGCACTCTGCCCTAGGCCCAGACAAATGGAACTTCATGTTCATCAAGAATTGCAAGAAGCCCCTGTCGCGAGCATTCCATGAAGAGGGAGCATGGACATAAGGGTCATCCCATACGTACTAAAAACAACAGACATAGCCCCACTCTACAAAGGTGGCAGTAAAGCAATTGCAAAGAACTAGAAACCAATAGCACTAACATTCCATATCATAAAAATCTTTGAGAGGGTTCTAAGAAGCAAGATCGCCAACCACCAATTACACAACCCAGGGCAACACGGGTTTAGAGGAGATCGCTCCTGTCTGTCCCAACTACTGGACCACTCTGACAAGGCCCTAGATGCTGTAGAGGATGAACAAAATACAGATATATTAAACACAGACTTTGCAAAAGCTTTCGACAAGTGTGACCATGGTGTAATATCACACAAAATGCGTGATAAAGGAATAACAGGAAAAATCGGTAGATGGATCTATAATTTCCTGACAGATAGAACACAAAGAGTAATAGTAAACCGAGTAAAGTCCCAGGCAGCTACGGTGAAAAGCTCTGTTCTACAAGGCACAGTACTCGCTCCCATTCTATTCCTCATCCTCATATCTGACATAGACAGAGATGTAAGCCATAGCTCCGTGTCTTCTTTTGTGGATGACATCCGGATTGCCATGGCAGTGACCTCCATCGAAGACTGCAAGCCTCCAAGCGGACATAAACCAAATCTTCAAATGGGTCACTCAAAACAATATGAAGTTCAACGAGGAGAAATTTCATCTACTAAAATATGGAAAATTTGAGAAAATGAAAAATGCATCAGGGTATATGACAATTTCTAAACATACAATAGAGCGAAAAAGTAATGTGAAAGGCCTGGGAGTGATAATGTCAGAGGATGTCGCCTTCAAAGACCACAATAATGTGTCTGCCGCATCTGCTAGGAAAATGATAGAATGGATAATGAGAACCTTCAAATCTAGGGATGCCAAGCCCATGATGATTCTCTTCAAATCGCTTGTTCTCTCTAGGCTGGAATACCGCTGTATACTAACGGCCTCCTTCAAGGCTGGCGACATTGCAGACCTGGAGAGTGTACAAAGAACTTTCACGGCACACATAAGTACGATAAGGCACCTAAATTACTGGGAACGGTTGAAGGCTCTTAATCTGTATTCCCTGGAATGCAGGCGAGAGAGATACATGATAATATACACCTGGAAGGTCCTAGAGGGATTGATACCGAACTTGCACACGAAAATCACTCCTTATGAAAGCAAACGACTCGGCAGGAGATGCAACATCCCCCCAGTGAAAAACAGGGGAGCTACGAGTACACTGACAGACACCACAATAAGTGTCCGGGGCCCAAGACTGTTCAACTGCCTCCCAGCATACATAAGGGGGATTACCAATAGACCCTTGGCTGTCTTCAAGAAGGCACTGGACAGGCACCTAAAGTCAGTACCTGACCAACCGGGCTGTGGTTCGTACGTCAGTTTGGGTGCGGCCAGCAGTAACAGCCTGGTTGATCATACCCTGATGCACCATGAGGTCTGGTCTCAGACCGAGCTGCGGGGGCGTTGACCCCCGAAACCCTCTCCAGGTACAGACTACCCACAAATGTCAAGGCCAGTCATAGCTTGAACCAGTTCAAGAAGACTGCCAAAGTGTCTGATGAATGAAGCAACAGAAAGGGAGGGGAATGATTTTCTATTTTTTAGCTAAAATACGTGTAAATTTTACCTTATCCCTAGTAATGACCCTCGTATTGTAGATAGTCGTAATGACCCTCGGGTAGTAGATAGTCTTAATGACCCTCGTATTGTAGATAGTCTTAATGACCCTCGCGTAGTAGATAGTCTTTTTAGTATGATAATAAGATGTTATCTTCAATATAGAATAATAAGAAAATATTATAACCTTTATATTATAATAATAAGGTAAAAGGACCCCAATGGAAATAAGTCACTCTGTCTGACTTTTTTGGGTTATCCTAGGTTCTCTACACATATGCTGCTATGTATGATAACTCTATGTAACTGTATTGTGTATACCTGAATAAATTTACTTACTTACTTACTTACTTATTCTTTAGTGTTTTGATGATGAGGGAGATTTCAGTAGGGTTGGGTTAGGAAAAGAGTATTTGGGTAGTTGCCAGTGAGGTAGTTTTTTGGTTGTGTTCGAGTTTGAGATGGCAGACAGTATAATAACCTATGTGACCTGTCAAGATATCTTATTAATGAAAATAAGATACCAGATATACTAAGCAAATTTCCTAAGATTGCTTGTAACAGATAAGTGAACTAGATATGTAGATACAAACCCATATGTACACCTGTTAACCCTTTTGGGGCCTTGTTCCTAGGCCTTTTGTGTATCCATATGCTCTTGCGCTACCGTCCACAGGATGGATATGGAGTGCAGAATAAACTAACCACTTCAGTGGAAAAATCTAAATCTAGTGTTGTTCCTACAGTGAAAAAAACATTTAGTTTGTTGGCAGTATCCGTCGGCGGGATTGGAGGTTCATTAGGTTTAGCTAGCTTAATTACATTTTTTCGTGGCAGTTTCCTAGATCCTAGAATTTCAGTGAGGATTTTCCACGTCTTTTTCATATCCCCTTTTATGTCATAAAATCTGTTTTCGTAATACAGTTTTTGGCCCTTCGTATTAGATTTGTAAGCGTCGACGAGTATCGTTTTGTCTGTTCCTTCGTAATTTGACCCAGTCAGTCTGTACTGTTTTTCGTATACATGTTTTTTGTCAATGGAAGTGAGGATGCTGGTTCTCTTTCTAGTTTACATCTCCTTTTCCTTAAAGGAATATGCCTTGAGTATAAAGGCACAATACCCTGACCGGAACAATACACATATATCCCTCACATAGGATAATAAAACTTATGTGTATACCATATATAACTTGAAATATGAGATAGTAAGTGCTGCAGCCATTGGAAAAAATGTGATAAAACAATTAACGAAGACGGAACACCGCGAGCATAGCTCTGGTCCCGTGGCTACAAATAAGTAATTACTAAAGGTAATTACAAAGAGGTAATTGCAATGTTAAGTTAAACCATTGACAATCTTATTTTAAGTTAAACCAATTACAGTGTTAAGTTAAACCAAGCGCTTCATGTACTGTGATGTTCCAGCAATGTCCAATCACAAACAGTTCACAAACATCGACTTATTTATATCATAAATAATAAATAGATATAATAAATAGTTAACACTTTACTAAGCATATATCACATTACTTGTATGGTATGTAAATGAGGGAGGTGTTAGTGATTTTATAAGAGTATATTGTAGAGGCGTGGCAAAGAGGGATCACCTGTGAAGGCTGTGTTGTTGTCTCTGAGTTGACAGGAAGTGAGTCTGTGAGTCACATCACACTTTATCCTCCATTAGGTAAGACACTACCTTCCACCCTTTATAATTAATGTTATTAGTATATATAACTCATATTTTGAAGAAAATATGAAGCAGTGTTGTGTTGCGTTTGAAGTAAATATGTGTAGTCTGCAATGGTAAGTGAAGGCTCGAGTTAGAATTTCCGATAAAATCTTGGCTGTTTCATTAGGTGTTTGAAGGATTATTGCTTTTATTATGACAGTGTCAGTTTGCACAGTAAGTGTCATGGTAATGCATGTGACACACAGGAAAGAGTGTCAGTGCATGACGTTCCGTCCTGGTCTATCTGTTGTTAAGATAATATTGATAGTGGAAGATCCAGCTAAAATAACCTCTTTTTAACCCTGTGTAATTAATCTCTGATCACACTCCAATTAGTCAGTTTGGTACGTGGTAAATGGGGCATATGTCCTTCAACATATTTTCTTTGTGTAGCAGTCAGCTTAAGTGTAGTTAAGTCTTGTCAGTTTTAGGAATGTCGTTTAATTATTGTTAATGCAACATATATTTGGCACACTTTCTTTACCACATTCTTATTTCTTAAATTGGTAGTGAAATTTTGAATATAGAATACATTATCTCGTAAGGTAATTTTTTTCAATTGTTACCCCATATCTCTTCCATATTTGATATATGCAAGAAATGGAACAGCATTAAACTGTTCTAAATAAATAGTAATATTATATATCCTTAATGGATTTATAAAATAATTGAATTATTGAAAATTAGTTTTACCCAAAATGTGTACAGTATTATGAAATTTTCAGATAATGGTCCAGTACAACCATCAAATTAAAATTCTGTTAAAATTTACAGAATTTATTAATGTACTTTCTAGAAATTCTAACTGAATATGGTTATTAAAATTTGATGACAGAATGTGGTTATTTGGTTGGTTCAAGTGGCAGTGACCGGGAATCCTTGGAAATGTAGGTTAGGAGGAAAAATAGGGTGGTATACCTCCACCAGTTTCTTATGGTGTTAGGTGTTGTAGGTAGAGTTTTGTGAAATCTATGATGTCTTCTATATCTAACCCTCTGGAAATGGAAAAATGGGGACTCATAGCAATGGATTAAAGTGGGACAAATTTAGATTTGGAAGGCTTTCTTTTGTGCCTACTATTTTACTTGTACATCTACCTATGTATCTACATTATTTATATGGCTCATTGAGGATCCCAGGAAGTGCTGATTTATCTAGAGTTGTAGATGAGTAGAATAAACTCCAAGTTGCATCACTGAGTTGAGAACTTTGGTCAGCTACAAATATAGGTTGGACAGTTATGAGTTTGTGTGAATTGGATTTGCTTAGCATGGGCCAATAGGCCTACTGCAGTATTCTTTCATTATTTTCTTAAGATGAATGATCCATTATCAGTTGTATGGTAGTTGCTCATTGCACTGTTAGTTGACTTAATACAAACTGTTAAGTATTTTTGTTTAACTTGTCTTGTTAGTGCTTTTCATTCCATGAAGTATGCCAAGACTACATGGTCTTGTTTACTTTTGTGCATCAGACACTGAATGTGTTGTGTGGAATGTTGCAATGTTGAAAGTGTATATTTTCTTATTCAGGGTATGGTATGAACAAGTAATTTGTCACAAGATGTTTAGCAACACTTATAGTAATGTGACAGAAGAACTAGGCCGGCTACATCTGGGAAGTCCCACTTCACAGCAGTATTCACCTGGAGGTGGGAAAAAGGTTGCACCACTTGTTCCTCCAAAACCCAAAAAAAGCTCTGGACAGCCAGCATCCCAGCTCTCATTGCATGTAAGTACAGGTACTAAATCTTTTATCCTAAAGAAGTAAAATTTATGAACTCAATTATTGTTAAGTGGGTCCTTCAAGGTTTTACGGATGAAGGGACACAAGTACATACACTTGGGATATTTTTATCAGATATGTTTGGTCCTGGGGCCTTGACTTATTTGTAGTGATCAAGATCCCAGGACTATGTCTCTTTCATTCATATTGTTGGTAATTAACTTCTGCCTTATGGTTTTATATAGACCGGTAATCTACTATACATAACAGAAAGTTAGTTTGAGTAATGTAATAACCATACCACAGATGGGGCTTGAACTCGTGGTGAGTCGTAAAACTCCAGATTGATGCGTTAACCACTAGGCCAGCTGGCTACAATAAGATTCATCCAGCTAGGTATATTTATACACCATAGGAAGGTTAGCATAGGCACCACTATGACCACAAATGCAAGTTCTTATAGATGAATCTCCCGCCAGTGTGGCCGTGATGAACTCAAGTTCAAGTCCCCCTCAAAGCAGTCATCGTGACCCACGAAATCGTAATGACACGATTGCAACAAACCATACCAAATGGGATTTCTACTGTCATTTAATAAAGTATTTTTTAAATTGTAAATATTAAGTATGGCTAAGCATCTACTTTTCTTGTACATTTCTCATTTACATTCAGTGTATTGTCTGAACTTGTCAAAGCAGGTAAATATTGAATACAAATGTTAATGTTTCTAATTATTTTTCACCTTGACTTACCATCAGCACTGTCTTGTGATGTCCAGAAAGCATTGCTATAAACCTTTCATGATTTTAGTGTAGATAAGCCTTGAGCCTTAAAAATTGCCATAAAAAGTAAAAGTACTGTATGTTACTCATGGAAATTTAGTGGTGTGATGGGTGCTTTAATATTTTTTACTTTATTGAATACATGTAGTGAGGTACTACTTGGGAAATGTAGTGTTATGCTAACATACTGCATAGAATGGCGCTCTGCTCTTTTAACCCTTTGAGGGTCGACAGGCCCTCTCCGAAACTCGTTCTCAGGGTCGGCCAAATTTAAAAAAAAAAAAAATTATTTTCTCTTATGAAAAGATAGAGAATCTTTTCCCGATCATAACGACACCAAAAGTTTGAAATTTGATAGAAAACTTACGGAATTATGCTCTCGCAAAGTTAGCGGTCTCGGCGATGTTTACGGATCGGCGATTTTGCCCACTTTGAGCCCCATTTTCGGCCAATTTCACTGTACTAGTCGACAAAAAACATGAATATTTCGCTAGAACTCCATTTTTTCTATCGAATGGGTGCAAGAAACCACCCATTTATAAATTCAACTATCCAGTACAGTGGTCAGAATTTAGCAATTTTGCCAATTTCACACAAATTTCAAAAGATGCCAATTTCGGAATAGGGTCCAGAATAAAACAAGAAAGATATTCCTGGCACTAAAATGACATTTCCTCTAGTCATTAGTCACGTCTCAAGGCCCCTCTTATATTCTTTTGCTTTCCACTTTGAATTTTTATTCTCACAAAAAATATAAGATTTACTGTTATGCAGACTACTGCATTAGTGTAAAAAATGGTATAAATATTATTGGTGCACTTGTGAAAGAATATTAGACTCACCAGTTGACGTGTATTGCACGCTTGGCACGATTTGTTTACTTTTGAAGTTTGGTAAAAATCGAACATTTCTGCTACTTTGAGCTCAATTTCAAGGCACCTTTCATTGTAAAACCAGTCAAAATCATCTCAATTTCAGTATATGTCTTCCATTCTATAAAATGAGACCAAGAAAACTAGAATACAACAATAAATACTATACGAAAATACACTGCAAAGTCGCTGATTTATTAAAAAAAAATGGAAAAAGTTTTTTTTTTCTCATTATGCACCGTGTGCTGCAGGATTTTTTTTAGACTGTGCACACTGACACATAGACCCATTCTTTCATATGAAGGCCTACCAGCTTTCTCCCACTAGATTTGAGGTCGCTAGAATTTATGAGTACTAGTACGTCAAAAACCCCTACGCGTAAGACGTACTAGTACGACGAAAACCCTCAAAGGGTTAATCTAAATCTTAAGATGCTTTAAACCTGGCTTAATGTGATGTCTGTCCTTCCGTGGAGTGGGCATCTCGCTCTACTCAGGTATAGGCAGGGGAAGTCCATTGTGCCTAATTGGGGAATATTTGCTCCATTTTTATTTCTCTAAAGGAATCTAATAATATTATGATCTAGCTTTGAACAATATATACTGCAGGTCCTTACCAAGGGGTAGGTCTTGGTACAGCATAATCCTTGGTGGCCCTTTAAGCTCCAACAATTAGCCCCAACTAATGTAGTTGATCACTACCTATTTACCATAAGCTACTTCCTTACCACTAGAACTTGAGCTTACACCCTCGCAACACATGCATGCCTTTTGAGGGAAAATGATCCCACTCAATGCATATATGCCTTTTAGGGTGACCCTTCTCACAGTGCTTATGCACCCTTCTGGGGGACCCATTTATTCTTGTCACCCACCTATTATCTTGTTCCCCTTCCTTCCCCATCCATTCCCCAGGCCTTCACTGTTTCCCCTTGTATTTTCAGCTGCAATATTTTTGAGTGCTTGTGTGCATTTATGTGTGAACATCAGTGTTGATGTGAAGAAGGGGAGGTACTAAGTTCTATTCTAGTTGAAGGTCTTGGGAGAGATGAGAAAGCCCAGTAAGGTCAGAACATGTGATGACCAGGGAAACCTAGGCCACATAACCCCCTTTAGCAGTTTTGCAGTCCTCACTGGTCTTGTGATAGCCTGTCTTAGTTTTGTCCCTATTTACTGTCTGATTCCCATGTGTGCTGCACCTGTCCAGTATGCCTCTGTTTACCTAAGTCCAAAAGATCCAAATATGGTTAGCCCATCTCCTTGCATGGCATTCAGCAGTTAGTTTCCCTAGATATGGGGTGCCACTCCCCTTGTTTTTATCAACATGGAACAACTTAAACCCCTGTACATGGCATTCGGCAGGCATGTCCCAATGTTCGTATTAAACCATATATCAGTGGAGTGCCATTGTTGTCCTGAGAAATGAGTGGGCAGAGGCAAAGGCTGCTGTAACAAACTCTATATAGTGTAGTCTGTACCTTAGTGACCTCAGTGTTTTGGAAGTTTGCAGGCCTGGTGGGCCCAACAAATGAGAGGGAGTTCAGCAGGTTGTGGTAGTTTGCCCTACCCCCTCCTTTTAACCCTTAAACTGTCCAAGCAGATCTACGTTCACATGCTTAGTGCTCCAAAAGGAGATCTACATTTCTTTTACATATTTTTCAAATATAACGAAAAAAAAATAGAGCAAATTTTTTTTTACACGTTTTCAAATGTAAAAAGGAAAAAGATCTACTTTTACATACAGTGGACCCTCGACTAACGCTATTAACCCTTTGAGGGTCGACAGGCCCTCTCCGAAACTCGTTCTCAGGGTCGGCCAAATTTAAAAAAAAAATAAAAAAAAATAATTTTCTCTTATGAAAAGATAGAGAATCTTTTCCCGATCATAAGGACACCAAAAGTTTGAAATTTGATGGAAAACTTACGGAATTATGCTCTCGCGAAGTTAGCGGTCTCGGGGATATTTACGCATCGGCGATTTTGCCCACTTGGAGCCCCATTTTCGGCTAATTCCACTGTACTAGGCGACAAAAAACATGAATATTTCGCTAGAACTCCATTTTTTCTATCGAATGGGTGCAAGAAACCACCCATTTATGAAATTCAACTATCCAGTACAGTGGTCAGAATTTAGCAATTTTGCCAATTTCATACAAATTTCAAAAGATGCCAATTTCCGAATAGGGTTCAGAATAAACAAGAAAGACATTCCTGACACTAAAATGACATTTCCTCTGGTCATTAGTCACGTCTCAAGGCCCCTCTTATGTTCTTTTGCTTTCCACTTTGAATTTTTATTCTCACAAAAAATATAAGATTTACTGTTATGCAGACTACTGCATTAGTGTAAAAAATGGTATAAATATTATTGGCGCACTTGTGAAAGAATATTAGATTCGCCAGTTGACGTGTATTGGACCATTGGCACGATTTGTTTACTTTTGAAATTTGGTAAAAATCGAACATTTCTGCTACTTTGAGCTCAATTTCAAGGTATCTTTCATTGTAAAACCAGTCAGAATCATCTCAATTTCTGTAATATGTCTTCCTTTCTATAAAATGAGACCAAGAAAACTAGAATACAACAATAAATACCATATGAAAATACAGTGCAAAGTCGCTGTTTTATTCCAAAAAAACGGTCAGTTTTTTTTTTCTCGTTATGCACTGTGTGCTGCAGGATTTTTTTTAGACTGTGCACACTGACCACATAGACCCATTCTTTCATATGAAGGCCTACCAGCTTTCTCCCACTAGATTTGAGGGCGCTAGAATTTAGGCGTACTAGTACGTCAAAAACCCTGGGTCGTAAACCGTACTAGTACGTCCGAAACCCTCAAAGGGTTAATGCGTTTCTGAGAGCTCATCATTAGTCAAAATAATCGTTAGTCAAGTTAATTTTCCCCATAAGAAATAATGGAAATCAAATTAATTCGTGCAAGACACCCAAAAGTATTGAAAAAAAAAAATTTTTAACACGTGAAATATTAATTTTAATACACACAAACTGAAGAAGACATGCACAGTTACATGACACTTACCTTTATTGAAGATCTGGTGATGATTGATGGGATGGGAAGAGGGGAGTGTGTTGATGGTCTTAGTGTTTAGAAGGGGAATCCCCTTCCATTAGGACTTGAGGTGGCAAGTCCTTTTTTCGGGGTTACTTCCCTTCTTTTAATGCCACTAGGACCAGCTTGAGTCACTGGACCTCTGTCGCACAACATATCTGCCCATAGAGGCCTGTACCTCCCGTTCCTTTATGACATTCCTAGTGTTTCACAACATTGTCAGTGTCACCATTAAACACTTGTTCAGGTTTCAGTCCTTCACTGTCTATGTACTCCTTGAATTCCTGCACATATTTTTCAGCTGCTTTTTGGTCCAAACTGGCAGCCTCACCATGCCTTATCACACTATGTATGCCACTACGATTCTTAAATCTCTCAAACCAACCTGGCCTTCAATTCACTCACATCACCAATAGTTGCTGGCATTTTTCTAATTAAATCGTCATGCAACTTCCTAGCCTTTTCACATATGATCGCTTGAGAGATGCTGTCTCCTACTGTTTTTCGTTTATCCATACCAATAACAGTCTCTCAACATCTTCTATCACTTGCGATCTCAGTTTCGAAAACATAGTTGCACCTTTGGCAAGAACAGCTTCCTTGATTGCCGTTTTCTTGGCCACAATAGTAGCGATGGTTGATTGGGGTTTTGTGTACAGCCTGGCCAGCTCGGAGACACGCACTCCACTTTCATACTTAGCAATGATCTCTTTCTTCATATCCATAGTAATTCTCACCCTTTTTGCTGTAGGGTTGGCACTAAAAGCTTTCTTGGGGCCCATGGTGACTTATTTTGCAGGTGCAATCACTAAAAAGGCTGTGATAATATGAAATGTTCCGATTGTATGCTTGGAAGCGACCGCGGTGGCTGGCTGGCTTGTAAACACTGGCCAGAAGTGGACGCGTCTCAGACGGAACGAATAGTGTTGGTCGAGTTTTTTAGCGCTAATCGAGGCAAAATTTTTGCGATAAAATGTATC